AGACACGCCTTCAAAATCGGGGTTTTCTCTTTGTCAGAAAATAATGTTTATGTGTATAAATGTTTTTCCTGCGTGTATTTATACCAGGAGTTGCTGGCAGAGGCCAGAGGAGGGCATTGAATCCCCTGGGACTGGAATGACAGTGGTGGTGTTTGTAGGTACTGGGAACCTAACCTTGGTCCTCAGCAAAAGCAGCAAATGCTCTTCACCTCTGAGACATCTTTCTAGGCCCCTCTGTCCTCATTTTAAAATACTTATATATATTTAAAATATTTATATATATACATGACATATATATGTCATGTATGTGCGGGCATTGGAGTTACAGGCAATGTGAGCCCCCATGTGGGTGCTGGGAATGGATCGTGGTGTTTAGGAAGAACAGTAAATGTTCTTAACTGGTGAGCCATTTCTCCAGCCCTAGCTTGTCTCTTTTTAAAAGCTAAGTTACTTTACTTTGTGAAATATCTTGCATTTGGTAAGGACATCAGTTATTTTTCACACATAGTTTTCCATTTTTTTGTATTTTTTTAATGTTAATAAGGGTAGCAAGATGATAACAGCAACAAATAAGTTCTCCTTTGTTAGCTAACACGTAAATCAGGTCTTTGGAAACAATATTCATTAGTCTCTAGAACTACTAATAACTCAATAACCATAGGCATTGTGAAATAATAGCAATTTAAAAATAGCAGTAGATAAGTTTGAGCAAAACTTCCCAGAAAAAAAGCTACCTTAAATTAACCTTTGCAAGGCTAATTAACTGATTGGAACTTCAGTAACTTGGAGAGTTTGGGATGTTGCAGGTTCAGATCCAAATTATCTTGGACCATGTTTAGCCCTCCAATAGTCATTTATTATTCTCCTGTGTATCTGACTTAATAGATTTGTGACCAGTAGATAAGTCATTTGGAATATGCAGAGCACTAATTTTCCATTGAAATGTATTAACTTAGCTAAGTGATGTCTGCCAATGTACTTAAAGCATGTCTTGATATTTATGACTGACTTTGTTCTGTTTCTAAACGAACTCAATGAAACTGCTTCCACGTTAGAACATTTAATTTAGGGTGGTCTAAATCTGTGTCTTTGGCCATGACTCCTCATATTTGGCTCCCAAATAAACTCTTATCGTGTGTGTGTGTGTGTGTGTGTGTGTGTGTGTGTGTGTGTGTGTCTGTCTGTCTGTCTGTCTGTCTGTCTGTCAAAATAATACTACTTGGTGTTTGTTGCCTATTGTTGGATAACATATCACTGTAAAGACATTGATATTACAGCAAATGTTTTGTTGCTCACAATTCCATGGCAAGCAATTCAAGCAGTGTTTAGCAGAGATTGCCAGGCCTTGCTTTATGAGAAGTCAGTTCCTGACAATGTTGGTTAGTCTCATGTCTGCCTGTTTGAGGTCTGCCATCTTTGTGCTGGGTTGTTCTCTGGTCTGGTTTTCCTTTTCTGACCCACAGGTGGTGCTTTCAGCTCCAGGTGACATATGGTCTCTGAAGCAAAAAAAAAAAAAAAAAAGGCACACTGCTTTCTTCTCTGTTTCAAGGCTAAGGAAAGTGCTTGCTTGTCAAGCAGATTTTCTCCTTGTGTCTCATTAGCTAAAATTGCTGTAATTGCTTATGCTTAGGCATTGGGTGTAGGGAAGGCCTCTATGATAGGTTCATGCCAATTAAGATTTATACCCCAGCACTGAGGAGGGAGCCAGCACTCTGTTAGGGTGCATGAAATTTGCACTATGTGTGAAAAGTAGAGGAGTGGCATGAAGTGGGCTTGTGGACCAGTGAGACCCAGAAGAGGTTTTTAGCACCTGGGAGGTCATGGATGGATGGCTGTCATCATGCCACAAAATGAATATATTGAATTACACGGTAAATGCTGTGGGTATCATCTGGATTACCATCAGAAAGAGAAAGTCGGGAGGACCATGAACATTCAAAGAAGACAGACAAACAAACAAACAAACAAATTACCTGAAAGCTAAGCTCTACCATAAACAGCGCCATGTTGAGAAAATACAAATGAAAAAAATGCATGGAAAGAGAAACACCAAACAAAAGAATGATAAGAGGACCCTATAAGGAGCAGTCCCTGCCTATCTGCTGGACAGAGAGGGACAATCTAGAGCAAAAGTACTTTCCAACATGATTAAGCAGAAATGAAAAGAGAAGACAGGAAAATGGGAAGTCCCTCTAAACAAAGTTCGTGCCCAAGGAGAAACAGTAGTATTGAAAGTCATTCAAACAGGAAAAAAGGAAAAAGAAGGCATAGAAGAGGATGGTTACTAATGTCTGCTTTGTTGGAGATGGTTTTTTACAAGAAAACCACCTAAACATGAAAGGTTCATTAGGCCAATGGGCCTGCGTTTCAAAAAAGCCCATGTCATACATCCTGAGCTGAAAGCTACATTTTGCCTGCCATTACTTGGTGTGAAAAAGAACCCATCATCCCTGTTTTATACAAAGCTGGGTGTAATCACCAAAGGCACAGTTATTGAAGTCAGTGTAAGCGAGTTGGGCCTCGTGACACAGGGAGGCAAGGTTATCTGAGGAAAGTATACCCAAGTTACCAACAACCCTGAAAATGATGGGTGCATAAATGCAGTCTTGCTGGTTTTGATAGTGATTCTACTGAAGACTACACAGTCTTAGGAAAACACCATCACTGTGATCTTTCTGAATACTACTAAAGCTGCCTTACCCATATATAGTCATCAAGGAGTATTAAATTGTAAAGAAAAAGAAAAACTGCTCAGTTTTACAGTTAGTTTTTAGTTTGGGGTCTAAGGGCTTATGTATTAATAAACAATAGTGACTGAGTAGCAAGCATGCAAATAAATGTATGTGAACTAAAAGTGTATGCAGCAATGCAGGTCTGTCTTTACTGCAAAAGCCACCAGTATAGTTTTAAGTACCCATAAAGGTTAATGACCACTTATTTATTGAGTAGGCTAGGAAATTTAAATTTGTTCAAGTACTTTCTATCTCATTGCCATTAATCCTTAAAAAATGGAGCATTTCAAACATTGGTTTCAGTTTATAAAATATTACATTAAAAGTATTCAAGAAGTTAAATTAGACAAATTTAAAATGTACAACTTGTAGTATTTCCACTTGTAATTAATACTTTACATAGTGCTACAGTGAATTCAAGTGTACTTATAGCATTTTCTATATTCTAAAAATAGGGTAGTGCATTTACATTGTTACCATGGTGTTAAAGATTGGTTTAGATCATTCTAGACTATGTATCAGTGCCCTGAGATGCAACACTTAATTAGATTAAAAGTCATGATTTGGAGTTGTAACTTAATCTAAGCTATTTTGTGATATATGAATCATGTATGGTCATGGCTTTGAGCTTTAGAAAGATTGTATATCAACATATTGTTTTAAATTGTTTTTTTAAGTCTGCCTTCATCATACAGCCAATGTGATTAATTGTGCCTTTAGCAGAATCATTTAATGTCTAATACAATATCTAAGAACATCTTCATGAATGAAATTCAGGGGGAAAAGAAAAAATTGAACACACAGACCAGAAAGCAATCACAAAATATAGGTTTAATTATTATTTTAAACATTGGGGGATGGGAACTAGCAAAGAAACAAACCATAAATTCTCCAGTAAGAGAATAATACATTCCCCTCCCCCAAGTTTTAGAACATACAAAGATGGTAAGGGAAAAGGAAGGCTAGTAAATGACCATTTAGTACAGACAGAATAACCTTGGGACCTTTCTTACAATTAGATTTTAACATTTCCCACCAATAAGAACAGGTAATGTATGAGTTATTCGCTTAAGTTACAGATGGTGAAAGAAAGTTGACTTCAGGTAATCAGTGGGTATTGTTGAAATAGGTTTGCTTATTTTTTTTTAAACTAGAAACAACAAACTGTCTTGTACCAAAAAAGCATGGTAGAAAGTATGAAAACAATCATGAAGTATGTTAACAGACCACACCAAAACCACCAGATTTGTAGTGGACATAAAAGGCAGAAGTTGCTCTCTAACATACAGTTACATATGAGTAGGGTTAGTATGAATTCTTTATTTACATTGAAATCTGTTTCAGTTGAAGGTGTGATCACACCTTAGAATATAAGTTTGTGAACATATGTAGAAAACTGACATTTTAAGTCATGCTATTATTTGATTTCATTAAAAAAATCATAATAGACTCTCTACATCTCTAAATGTTGTAAAGGAGCTTTACAATAGAATTCTTAAATGAATTTAAAAACAGTAGAGGAGTGGATAAATACACAGATGCTGTGTGTGCAACAGTAGCATCCATTTCAGTGGGCCATCAGATTCCTGAGTATATAAGATGAAACACTAAGAAACATGTCAGACTCAAATCATCTCTT